AGACAAAGTAATAAATTTAGGTGTAACAAATTACAGTAATTTTTTCAAGTTGATACAAAGTATCTTTTTTTTCAGTGCAGACGCTGATGTATTAGTATTCGGAGAACAGGCAGGAGATCAGAACTGAGCAGACGATGGTAGGCAGGATAATCCAGAGGGCCAAGCCAAAGCCAGTGAGGTGCTCGGTGGTTAGAGAAAGGAGATCAGAGGGTTGAAGAGGTGCCGAGGGCAAATCCAATACAGAGTCGTGAAGCAGTCCCAATTTCGGTTCACAGACAGGCAGAGATCTGGCAGGAGTCCAAAGACAGGTCAGGCAAACCGATCAGAAAGGGGACAGGCAGGCTCAGGGGTCCAGAGGCAGAATGGGTTTGGATCAGGCAATCAGAAATACAGAAATGCAAGAGAACTCTCACCACAGGCTTGAATAATCTGGCACTGATGACTGGTCTGAAGGCTGGTTAAATAGAGGCTGAAGCAGGTGGATTAGATGAACAGTAATGAGAACTGGGCAGAGATAAGCAGGTGAGTGAAATGAGTAATCAGACCAGACCTCAGCACCAAGATCATGACATTCACTTTAACTGTGAAGTGTAGAAGCAGTAGCAGAGGTAAGAATAAAAGTGAAATAAAACCTGAAAACTGCTTTACATTCCTGATATATATGATAAAAAATAATGATAAACATGCAGAGATCAAAATTCTGAAAGCATCTAAAGTTTCTGCAGAAAGTTGAATAAGGTGCATGAAACTTAAAACCCTGATGGTTTGTTTTTATCTTCCAGGATTCTGTGGATGGTTCCAATCTACAGTCTGGACAGTGTGAGTCATTAATAGGACACAAACACACAGATCAACGCTCAGCAGTTTGTCTTATCCTTTGGTGCAACCATTGCAAAACATTGCAGGGTGATATGAAATTGGCTGAGACACTTTTTTTGTAACCACATCTATTAAATCTTCTCCCATGTGAATCTGTTCACATGTGATTTTGAGCTTCAGTTTTCCTCCTCCCTTCATTCAGTGGCTGGCCCTGCGGTACCCCAGCCTCGCCATCTACGTGGACACGTGCAGGGAGTGCTATGAGGCCTACGTCATCTACAACTTCCTGGTGTTCCTGCTCAACTTCCTGAGCAACCAGTACCCGAGCCTGGTGCTCATGCTGGAGGTGCAGCAGCAGCAGCCACACCTGCCGCCGCTCTGCTGCTGCCCGCCGTGGCCGATGGGAGAGTATGAGGAGGGAAGGAGCGGGCAAAAGTGTCTGATGAGATGATGGTGCCTGAAGTGTTCATGCTTTTCATTATTCCTCTGGCAGGGTGCTGCTGTTCAGATGCAAGCTGGGTGTCCTTCAGTACACGGTGGTCCGACCCGTCACCACGGTGATAGCACTGTAAGTTTAAGACATAAAGGCTCATCATTTCTAAGTGTTGTCCTTTCTGATCATTGTTAAACATATAAAATGTCATCTGTTAGTTATTCTCTGTCCTCTCTAAAGGTTCTCTTAACCTATTTTTAGCTTTATTTGCATTATTTATTTATTATTTCCAAGCCTGTCAGAGTATTTTTAAAACTGGTTTCCCATGGCGATGACTGGAATATATATTGTTGTTGTTTTGTCTATTTCTGCAGCATCTGTCAGCTCTTTGGAGTTTATGATGAGGCCAATTTCAGCTTCAGAAACGCTTGGTCCTACCTGGTTATTGTCAACAACATATCCCAGCTGGTAAACAACACCTCAGCGACCGGACATGACCGTAGGAACGACACATGAAAGAACTTTATAATCCAATCCAACTTTATTTATGTAGAACTTTAAAAACCAACAGGACCAAAGTGCTGCACAAAAGCAGAAATACAAACACAATTTAATGCACTAAGATTAATGAAAAAAGAAGGAAAGTTACAAATGAAATAAACAAAAAAATAAATAGAAATAAGGCCACTGATTGCTCAGGAACTTTGAAATATAGACTTAACTCTCTTTATAAAAAAAAAAAGAAAAAAGGTATTTTAAGTTGTAATAATCCGCACATATATTTATTAATTTAAAAGGGTGAAAACTGTTTAAAAAATAGTCGCTACCTATGGGCGTTTCTGCTTTTAAATTGTGTCTTGGTTCCACCATAAGGTGCCAAGCATCTCGAATAATAAAATGTAAACAAACCATGAAGCCTTACAGGTTATTTAGAGGGAGATACACGATATTGCCAAAGTCGTAACACTTTAAAATTAAAAGCTAAATATTTAAAGCTAAATATATCTACTATAATTTGGTGGATTTCTATGAAACAGCAACAGAAAGTAGTAGGATCATATGAGGTAGGAGGGAATATACAGATACCAACCTGTTTTTTTTAATTCTGTTTTTTTATAGAGAGTAACAACAAAAAAAACTACATTAAGAACAACAAATAAACAGAAGCTAGATGGGTGAGAAAGATGAGGAACTGAGAGGCTGTCATTATCACTGGATTAGCTGCAAAGATCCACAGCTAAGCTGGAAGCTTCTGTTAAGAGAAAAATTGTGATTTAAATATTCTACAATTATCCCATTTGCAGAACATTTGCAAAAAGAAAGCAGTTAAAAAAGAAAGAAACAAAAAACGGTAATTTTAGCCTTCGATTTGCAACAAACCGTGCAGAAAGTTCTCTGGTCAGACTGAATAAAATGCCACTTTCTTTTACACAAAAATCACAGTTTTGTGAAATTTCTCTACACATGGACATGGATCATACTGTCCAAACAAATAAATATGGTAGTGGCAGTATTATGTTTGGAGACATTTCTCTTTAGAAGCAACAGACAGCTGGTCAGTGTTGGTGGGAGGAGAGGTGGAGCTAAATACCTGACAGTTCTACCTTCCAGCAGAACAATTCACCAAACTCATACTATCAGAATTATACAGGATATCAAAACATAATAATCTGTTAGAACGACCTAATCAAAGTTCAGAAATACGTTTAATTAGAAATCTATAGTAATGCTTTAAATATACTGTTCACAGCTTTAGTTATTTTGCGGTCTCAGTCTTTAGAGGTGAATTGTTTGCTGGGACAAACCTTTAAGACCTGCAGCCAAAAATGGTTAACTGGGTGATTCTAACAAATGTTTAACCAGAGGAAGGTTAAAAAAAGAAAAGAAAAAAAAAACGCTCTTAAGTCCCACCTTTTAGATTAGGTCAGGAAAACTTTGGAAAAGTAGGTATCAGTTTGATTAAATGTTGCAGGGGAGTGGTGGCCTAGGGGTTTAGAACATTGATTTGAATCCAGAGGTTCCGAGTTCAAGCCCCACTCCCACGGACTGCCTCTTTGGCCCCCTGAGCAAGACCCTTAACCCCACACTGTTCCCTAGGCGCCGCACAATGGCAGCCCGCTGCTCCCCAAGGAAATGGGTAAAATGAAGAGTTCATTGCGTTGCTCTGTATTTGTAACAGTGTAATTACAATAATAAAAACTAAAATTTACAAATCTTCACTACTATGTATATCACACTTTAACACTTTTTTACAAAATACTCACATCAGTAAATCAGGTTTTTAATGCATTTTTTATTTTTTTTTTCCTACAGACATAGAGGTGACAGTTGTTCTTCTGATCTTTCTGATTACAGTATGAGTATAGACTGATGTTTGACATGTGTTTACCACTGTCCACAGTTTGCTATGTACTGCCTGGTTCTGCTTTATCGAGCCCTGAGAGATGAGCTGACTCCAATCAGGCCCGTTGGAAAGTTCCTCTGCGTAAAATTGGTGGTGTTTGTCTCCTTCTGGTAAGCAGGACCGTACTTGTATGGTACCTTATTCTTATTAAG